CATCATTTGTTACTGTCGGCTATAGTTTATTGCTCTTCTGTTACAAGTATTATATTATTATGTTTTAACAGTTTTTGACCTGTACCAACAGGGACTTGGTCAACAGCAGCTCTTCAGCATTTTTGTCGATATTGATACATTTACTGGAATGTGATTACATTAGTCATTGCTTGTTATCACCAAGGCTTTTGTGAATTCAGAAAATATAATATTATAAGTGTGAAAATTAATAAAAAAAAAGAAGATCTAGCGACTGCGCTGGTATTTTTGATACATGGTATTTTTTTACTCATGATTATCTAATATTATCTACTAAATAATTCTAGAATTCTGATGTTGATGTAATATAACCGCTACACTATTAATGTTATACTATAATTTCATTATGATATACAGAAAAAAAATGGCAAGTATTTTCAAATCGCTTGTTCTTAAATCCTTTATGTGGTCACGCCAATCAACATTAGGGGAGCCTTAACGTATAAAAAAGCACTTATCAATTTTGAAAATAAATTTAATAATGTAAATATTATTTTTAAATTGATAAGTTCACACTGCTCGTGTGAGGATGGTGCTCGTTTATGTCAAAAATCTCTAATACTAATCTTTGTAATACTTGAAAACCTTTAACAGAAGTTCAGATTAGGATTCGATCTCGGGAGCCGCGAACACAAATCAAACGTTATCCGACTATGTCCTTGATCTGTACCGGTAAACTGAATTGATAGTAAACATGACAATCCTAACAAGTTAATTCAATAAATCCGACAACACGCCGTTGCGTTTACACAACAAAGAATATTTTGGTCGTAATAAAAATAATATTTTCCAATCGTAAATTGTTTTAATGTAATGGCAGTAAACTGAAATGCTTGGCGATCGGCCAACAGAAAAACGTACGCACGAGCCGCCATATCAAACTACCGCTTAATCAAGTATCGTGTAAACAAATAAATATCAATTCAAACGATTACAACCAGACATACATACCAGCCTACCAATTTAAATTATCTACGTGTTTGTTTGAAAAGATATACACAGTATTTGAATTCTTATATGATCGACGAAATGTGGCCAAGTCGGGTTTTACGTGTAACACAATGGTCAATCGACAAACGCCTTTAACTATAAGATATATTACATTATCATCGTAAACATACTTTTTATCGCTACCATAAACTACTTTTTTTTTATGGGTGAAAATGGTATGGTAACCCCGCCTGCGCTAACGGGATACGCTGGCAGAGCACCAGTGAAGGGTAATAGATGAGAATGAAAACAGGCCAGTTAGCCCATCATGATGAATTCATCAGGAATTAACCATGATAGTTTCCAGGGGGAACCGCGAGGAATTCGACCTGGTTGGATATATTGCTAGCAATGGGATTCTCAGTCTCCATTACTAACAATCCCTTTCCCCCTTCCATAAACTACTTATTTACCTTTATTTTTGTGCATTACCTAATCGATATCTTCAGCAACTGTGATCTAATTTTGATTATTACATAACTGGACAGGACGTCCTGATGAATTCGTCACGATTTACCGTCTGAGCTGACTTCATTCACATCTGTCATCTCTCACTGATGCCCAGCTAGCATGTACCGATAGCGCAGGCGGGGTTACCGTTACATTTCCACCTTTAAAAATGCACAGATCTCCAACCATAAGAGTATTTCCTATTCGCGTGCTGCCAAATAACTTGTTGAGATTAATTTCGAGATTCTTTTTAATTGCACAGATAATTATTGTGTTTTATTCTTGGAGATGAAATGAGCGATGACACTCTCTGTCTTCTTACTCTGTCGCCACAGAGAAAAAACTAAATATAATTAATGTAACTGTATTATATAAAAAGTCTAATGAGTCGAAAGTGTCACCTGTTGCGTAGACAGGTTCAGGGTCAGTCGTTGGCACGTGTCAGCTGTCAGGGCGCTGGGTTCTATTCCCGACACTGATCTCACGGCCTCTGTCACGTAACATCGCGCAAGTGTGCTGCTTGCAGGTAATAACATTCTGAGAATATAATTACCTGGGAAGTACAAGCAGCTTGCCATGTATGCCTTGGCATAGAATGGGCCGCCCCTTTCTTCCCGTGGGTGACGTAAAAGGCGACTAAGAGAGGGCGAGGGATGAGCAGCAACCCTCTTAAAACCTAACTGCAGTTGCCAACCCGCCTGCCAAACATTGCAACTACTGGCAAAACTCCCCTTATGGGGAAGGTTTATGTCGAGCAATGGACAATTAACGGCTGAATAATAATAATAATTAAGCTTCAAATTTTAAATTATTCGGTAGAGATTCGGTTCGAAAGGTGGAATATGACAGGAAAGGTTTAATGGGTGATAATGAAATGGTTCCCATGAATGGCTCCGCCTATGCTATCGGTATACTTTGACAGTGCCAGTGAGAGATGAAAGGTGAGGATAAAAGCAGGTCCATTATCCCATCGTGTTGAACTCCACAAGAATTAACGAAGATGGTTTCCACTTGAAGGTCAACCTGAAAATGTATATTGCTAGCAAGGAAGTAATTAAATCCCCATTACCAATAATCCTTTGCCCAACCAAGAGAGGCCATCGTAGTGTCTGTCCACTATCCATCAGATGGGCTTCAGATCAGATCAGATCAGCTTGTTTGCTATTCCAAGTATACTTGTTACATTACTTACCAACATTAATGAATACATTACTTTTATTTTAATAAAATAACTTTTATAACATCAAAGTAGTTTTTTTTATGGGTGAAAATAGTATGGTAACCCCGCCTGCGCTAACGAGATACGCTGGCGGAGCACCAGTGAAGGGTGATAGATGAGAATGAAAACAGGCCAGTTAGCCCATCATGATGAATTCATCAGGAATTAACCATGATAGTTTCCGGGGGAACCGCGAGGAGGTCGACCTGGTTGGGTATATTGCTAGCAATGGGATTCTCAGTCTCCATTACTAACAATCCCTTTCCCCATATCAAAGTAGTTTAGTGGTGGCAGTTGACACACGATTCGCATTCTAAATTTAAATATTTTAAATCTAATATATCTATGAAACATTTCGTCGTTTAAAAATAATAAGAACACTTTATAGAAAGTGAGATAAATGCAGCAACTATACCTATAGGTATACTAGGGTCTGGAGTTCGAAACATCCTGGCCTGTTGCTATGCGTAAATCGCGCATAGCAATTGGAAAGGTGCCTTTTACGTCAAACGGTGCCCGCGTCCGCGCCAGATAGTCTGCATGTACAAATTGGACAGGCTTCAACATCGACGTGAACAACGTGATTACTGGGTGCATCAAACCATTTCAGATCTTATACACACCGTGCCTACGGTCGCTTGTGGCGCGCCGCGGTCGGGTGCTGTTCGCGTGCCACGCAAACCGTAAATAAATTATGACGCAAACCATAATTTAAGGATGTCACCGTTTATTCTGTATTTAATATTAACTGTACCGCGCAGCTCCGCCCGCGTAAATAAATATATATCCTATATACTAACTTAGAATGTATTCTACCGGTGTACGAAATTTCATTCAAATCCACTGAGTACCTAACTCTTGCTTGAAAAAGTAACAAATATGCATCCGTTCGTTTCGTTATTTGTTAGACCTTCTTTTTAGTTTTTTTTTAAGAATCTCAGAATAATGAACTAGTTGATGTTCCGCCTGACGGAAAGTGGTAACTAAAGAATACATCCAAGTTGCGATTATAAGCAAAGTGATTTATTTATCTTTTACCCTCAGTACACCAAATATCAACTGTCATTAGACATCTCTAATAAATACATAAGACTAATATACCAATAATATTAGTGAGACGAAAACTAAATTTAATTGAGTATGTGTTAAAATTAGTGCGGGGGGGGGGGGGGGGAATGTAACCAAACTGTACTGGAATCAATTTGTTATAAGACTCAAAGGGTAAAGAGATAAAAAAAAAGACTCCTGTTCACATGATCTGCACAGAACCCTCAGTATGCGAATCTGTTTCAAACTTACATGTTTTTTAATACTTCTTACTGCACACTGCGTACAGTCAATCATAATAACATACTGCATATTAATCAGTGTTAATTAATATTGCATTAATTAATTAATATTATAATTTCAATGTGATTGAAACACCCGGACGTGATCGAAATGTCAACCGTTGTTAAGGTCATTGAACATTAACATTCCCAGTTTCCATTTCAGACAGCGACATCTTATTGTTGTAAAACCACATAAAATACAAATTTGTAACATCTAGTATTATAATATATATATATTACTTTTGTTTTGTTATTATATATTAAGCTAAAAGATGTCTCATCAAAATTTATAACTTTTTAATTATTATAGATGTGTGTATGTATGCGTGTGTATGTGTATGTGTGTGTGTGTATATGTATATATGTGTATGTGTATGTATATATATATATGTGTATGAATGTATGTATGTATGTGTATGTATGTATTTTGCATATATAAAAACCGATCATTGTCATCACGCAAATGTGAAAACGATTCATGGCTTAACATAGATATAAATTTGATTATGTATTGACTGTAATTCAGCTGTACGTTTTCCAAAAAATAAATAAATAAATAATTATATCTAATCGTTCTTTTTTAGTTATAAGTATATAAATAAATAATTAGTAACTGCTGTCTCTTTTTTTAACCCCTGTGTGGGTGCTTACCAGAGGGAGACTTTGTACAAAAGTCGATTGCTTGGGTACCTCTGTCCTATTCGTGTTTCAACCGTAAAGCAGTTGTGTTTGCATGGCTGTGTTTTGGTTTGAAGGGTGGGATATGATGTGAATTTACAAGGTACAGAGGAATAACACCTGAGTCTTAGGAATGGCAACGCATGGAGGGTATCATGGGCGAAACAGTATACTCTGTTATGTCCATGGTTCTGCTCATGTCTATAGACGACGGTTACCACTTTCCATCAGGTGGGCCATCAGCTTGTTTGCCATTCTAAGTTGAATAAAAAAAAATAAAAAAAAAAAAAACAAATTGTTCTTAATATATTTTTTTTAAAGCAGCAATTTCCAATTCCTTTTTCTCCTTCTCCAACATCAATATCTGAAGTTCTATCTTGTGCTTTTCCTTTTGGTATTGTAGCTCCCGCCTCTGGTACTTCAGTTTCAAGTCATACTCGGCTTGTAATAACTTTAAACTTTGCTCCTTTATAAGTAAATTTGAGTCACTTAAAGTCTTGTGACTGGTTCTGGAACAAATTTATATATTAAAACATACAGGATATTCAACTCCTAATTTAAACTGTAACTCCATCCAATTTACTCTATATTGTCTCTATGTCTTTAGGGATGGGAGGGAATGGATTATTATTAAAGTGGATTACTAGTCCCATTGCTAATAATATACCCTAACAGGGCGACCTCCCCGTGGTCCCCCCTGAAAAACTATCGTGTCGAATTACAAGTGTATTCATCACGATGGGCTAACTGACCTGCCTTTCCATTCTCAGGTACCGATAGCGCAGGTGCGGTTACCATTCCATCTGCACCCATAAAAAAAAACGGTTTACACTGGCGGGGTACCAGTAAAGGATGATAGGTGAGGATGAAGGCAGGTCAATTAGCCCATAGTGACCAATTTAACAAAAATTAACCACTATGGTTTCCAGGGGGAACCGCTAAGCTAATACTAAGACAAATAAAAACATATACTTACTTTATTCTCCTAAATCTTTCTTTTTTCCCAAAGAACTTTTGTTTCTGTATTTTGGGTGCATTTAATAAAATTTTGATATTATCATTCCTTGGCACGACATTCGGTGGATTGTCCACAGTGAGTACCTAAGGATACATTTTTAATGTTACCAACGTATTGATAATTTTATTTTGTAATGTAGAGAAGTGAATGTTACCTCGCTGTCTGTTGGTATTGTTAGTGCCTCTTCGGTCACATCCTGTAGCAGAGAATAATGTCTTAATTCATAATAAATATAAATGCAGGAAATAGAAATTATATTATTATATTAAAAACAAAACAAAAGAGTGAGAAGGCAAAAGAGGAAGGGGAAGACCAAGGAATAACTACATGAACAGGGGGGAAAAGGGATTGTTAGTAATGGAGACTAAGAATCCCATTGCTAGCAATATACCCAACCAGGTCGACCTCCTCGCGGTTCTCCCTGGAAACTATCATGGTTAATTCCTGATGAATTCATCATGATGGGCTAACTGGCCTGTTTTCATTCTCATCTACCACCCTTCACTGGTGCTCCGCAAGCGTGTACCGTTAGCGCAGGCGGGGTTACCACTCCATTTTCATCCAATAAAAAAAAACTACATGAAAAGATAAAGGAAATACTAGGTGTCATGTTGCATAGGTAGGTCAGAAATACGGCCTGGGATAGAGCTGGCTTGCAGAAAATGCATGAATTAGTTCCACCAGTAAGAAGAAAAAATGTAAAAAAAAAATAGTTCACCTCTTTATCAGACAATGACTCGTCACAAACACTGTCAACACTTTCTTGTTCCGACTGCTGCTCCTGGAAAAAAAAGCATATGATTCTAACTAGACCTTTCTATATACTCTAATACTACCATAAGAGACGTTTGTGAAGATGATGGAAGTATATTATGTATATGTTTATGCAAATAAATGATTGACTGATATTTGTTACTCTTTCACAGAAAATCTACTGAACTGTCTATGCTAATATTATGAAGATGATTTTTTTTTTGTTTATAGTAGATACTCATAAACCACTCAACCAATTTTAAAAATTCTTTTACCCATAAAAAGCTACTTTATTAGCAAGTAACATACTCTGGGGGGAAAGGGATTGTTAGTAATGGAGTTTGACAGCCCCATTGCTAGCAATATGCCTTATTAGGTCAACCTCCACGTGGTTCCCCTGGAAACCATCGTGAACAATTCTTGTTGAATTTGTCACGATGAGCTAACTGACCTACTTCATCTCCTCACCTGTCATCCTTCACTGGTGCCCCGCCGGTGTATACCGATAGCGCGGGTGGGATTACCATTCCATTATCATCCATTAAAAAAAAAAGTAACATTCTCTATATATTATTTTTAATAAATTAAAAATCCCCACAATAATTATAGTTACTGTCTAAAGTAAAATAAATTTACCTATTAAAGGTATATATATAAAATACTAATTAATCTTTCTATCCATATTCACATATAAAGCCAGATCACTAGTAATATTACAAAATAAAAATTGAGATTATTTGTCCTTTTTGGGGTGTTTGTACCTCTTTGTGCTTTCTCGGGACCACTTATCAACTATCTATGGTATTCTGTCCATACATAACAATAACCATTCTATTGTTAATAAATAATAAAAAAAACCAATCATCACGAAACTTGATACACATATAATATTTAGGATGAAGAAAGATGCAGATTTTTATCCTGGCCAATCAACATTATCCTTAACTTATCCATCCTGGTGACATGTACAAGATCACGGGTAATCACTAGTTAAAATATACTTATTTATATAATTTAAAGGTAACTTGTTAACCATAAAATATGAGAGTTATTTACATATTTCACAGAAATTGGATCATTAGCATTCTTCTCCATATTTGAACATATCTCCATTATCGTTCTATCCTCTTCTGAAGGATTTAAATTTTGGGAAACATTTTTCTTTGCAGTCATTTTCATTCTCCTCCAAACTCCCTTCAGTTGGGAAATTTGTCTGCTTGTACCACTCAATTGTCTAAATCTATAAATCAAATAAACACAGTATTTAACTAAGTAGTAGATATATAAATCATTTATTACAGAATTGTTTTAATATAAAAGCAGGTTATGTAGAAACTTACTTCCTTTCGATTTTCTGCCACTCAAGCAAGCTTTTGTTTATTGGCATCTGTGTCAGTATTTTTATTTTCTATAATGCTAGAAGAATGTCTCATTATGTTAATAAATAGTTCCTAAAATACATGAGAACCCAATAAATAACACTGTCATTGCAATACAAAAAATATTATAGAAGCATTATTTTTATCAAACCTTTTCCTGGCGAGTCCAATTGTCTCCACGTTTACGTTTCAAATCCATATTTAATTAATTATTTTACGAGTTGCAAGTCAAAAAACGAAAACAAAAATTAAAAACACAAAAACTCATTCTTTTCAGGATTAAGTCACTATTAAAATAAAAAAAGTTTGTATAAATTCTATGTAATCGTTTTTTAATTTGAAAATTTTACAGAATAAAATTGTTAATATCTTTATGATACCCATTTTTTTTAATATTACGGTATCTATATCGATATTCTGGTCAGTATCATGTTATAAACGATGATATAACTATAATTAATAATTTATTTTATTCTATTGACGCTTCTAAGTGGTTACATAGAATCATTTTCCGTTTCGATATTGTAAGCATAATGCCAACACTTTATATCTATGATTCTGTTTGTAAACATTGCCTTGCCATTCTCCACAGATTACAAAACGTGTATTCCATTACAAGTGTTTCAAATTGGAACTTGTCGGTTTGTTTTAACGATTGTTTGAGGTTTCGTTTGTTTCTCCCATTGATGTGAGGATTATTTATATTATATTTAAATGTGTTAAATATTACAGTTAATAGTATTAAATTTAAATATAATCTTTATATTCTTTTACATTTACATCTTTATGTGATTTCATTAAAACTTGAATAAAAATAATGTGTATTGCACAAGAGCTCTCGCTACACTACGCTTATACTTTGAGAATGTTTGCAAATTTTGTTATAATGAGAAAGAAACGCAAAGAATAGCAAAAAAGTTATCGTATAAGATGCAGAAAATATAGATATATAGGGGGGAAAGGGATTGTTAGCAATTAAGTTTGACAGCCCCATTGCTAGCAATATGCCCTATTAGGTCGATCTCCACGTGGTTCCCCCTGGAAACCATCGTGAACAATTCTTGTTGAATTCGTCACGATGAGCTAACTGACCTGCTTCATCCTCACCTATCATCCTTCACTGGTGCCCCGCCGGTGTGTACCGATAGCGCGGGTAGGGTTACCATTCCATTATCATCCATTTAAAAAAATATATATAGATATATATACCAAGAAAAAAATAAAATGTGTAAAATAAATATTTTTATTGTAATAATATATAAATTTCGCATAAATACAACTATAAATTATTACACTAATTAAACAATATTTAATCACTTGGACAAAGTTTTTGTTAAACACTGTTTCAATAAATAATTTTTGGCGAGACTGCTTGTAAGTTTATTAGACACGTGTTTAGATAGGTAGTGTTCAAAATATTTTATTGTAGTAAGATTTATTTTAACGTATTCTTCGAACAGTGTAATATCGCAGGCATGTCCGTTCTATATATTGCCAAATATCCCGGCGCGCTTTCAAAATCATCACTTACACAGTAGTTCGTGACATTTTTATGTGTTAGAAATTAATTAATGATTAGGATATTTTACTCACACGTAGTCACTGATGATACATTTACTTGATATCATTATGGTTAATGACGAACTAAGGTACAAAAGGCAAAATTAATGTTTTAAACATAACCTTCAAGAAAAGAGCATATTCCTTTTTAAAAGGCCGGCAGCACACCTGCAATGCCGCTGGTGTTGTGGGTGACTATGAGCCGCGGTAGTCACTTACCATCAGGTGAGCCGCATACTCCTTTGCCCCCTGTGTTGTAAAAAAAAAAAACTTAATTTTTTTATTTTAGTTCAATGACATAAATTTGTGTTACATTATTTTATGTTTATCGTAAATCCAATAATAAATAATTACTACATTATCCATGCATGCTTATCTACTTCTAAATATCCTTTCAAAACGAAGCTTTTCATGAATATAATAAGTAATTAATAAATACCACCGACTGACATTTTACATGGCGTCGTCGAGCCACGGAAGGGATTTTTAGTAATGGGGACTAACAGCCCCTAGTCCCACGTATACCGATAACGCAAGCGGAGCTATCATTACATTTTTATCCCATTAAATAAACTAAAAAATAAAACAATATACTGCTTGTTTAAGCTAGTAAGTTTACTAATAGGGGGAAAGTGTAGAAATTTCCAGAGCATTTATTGCGCAAAAGAAGTATGTTAAAGCTATATGTGGCGCAAAAATTAGAGAAAGTTGTCGCCCTCTTTTAAAGAAATTAAATATTCTCCCACTGCCATGTATGAACATTAGAGACCTATGTATATTTGTAGAGGAACATGCTGGCTATTTCAAAAGAGTATCAGACTCGAGAACGCGTATAACCAGACCAAATGACAAATTATATGTACCAATATGTAGGTTAGATTTACATAAAAGAAATACATACTATATGGCTATTAAAGTTTACAACCATCTACCAAATTACATTAAAGAAAACAAACAACTCATACTGTGTTTAAACGTAAACTTAAGGATTGGCTGTTATTTAATAGTTTTTATAAAATTAATGAATATTTTACTAAAAGAAAATAAATGTACAATTGACAACCTATATAAAGATGTAATTGGCACTTTTGCTCTTAAGTTTTATTTTCCGTTTATTGTAATAAATTATGTATGTATTTGATTTATATGACTAATGAAAAGAAATATAGTGTAGAATATATGTAAATTTCTGACATTGTTAATGATTTGCACGCCGACATACAGGCAGAATGTATATGGAAAATATAAACCTCTTTCATCGAAAACTACCTACATTCTAGCAAAATAAATTCATTTCATTTCATAAGTGATGTTATTAATCAATCAAAAACAGTTCCATACTAAACTATATATGCAAAGTAATTTATTAAATATGTATATTTACAACCCTATATCAATGTGGGAAGAGGGGTATATTTCGTAGGCATCAGTGCACTCATAAAGGAAAGTCCATAATCATTCAGTACTACCCATATTATGTATTCTTATGCTTGTACTATAGGCACTAGAGGTCTAATAAATATTCTTATATACATTTTTTTTTTAAATAAATACTTTACAGAGAAATCACCTCGAATAAAATAAACAGGCATACTCGTGAATGCACAAGGATCGACCCTTAGTAAATAACAAATATACTTATATACATGTTACATAGTTATAAAGCTTGTTATAGTTAATGTAATGTGAATTGTATTGCTGTTGCTGTGCTTAAATAAATAAATATAATAGAGTATATATAAAATATTTTTTACCTACACACCTATTTATTATGCATGCATGCGTCGTTCCATCATTTCACTTGGCTGCTCTACCAAAAAGAATTGTTTAATGTTGTTTTCTCAAAAACTTCCGAACTTATCAACTTCATACATTACAAATTAAAATGTATAAATTAAGTATAAAATAATAACAAACATTTAAAACAACTTTTTCCGAAAGACGAAGTCAAATAGACATGATATATTGTCTCGGTTAATATCACGCTTGAAAAAATTTATTACATACACGTGTCATGTAAAAAAACTTTGTAACACAACTAAAGTTTTAAATACATTATAGCTTCAGACATGTAAGATAACGCCATCTATTCCCGTACGAAGCAAATCTTGAAATTAATATTCATACTATGTGATTACTTTGGTGATTCGATATTATTTTTATATTTTTTTTTTTATCGATTGATCGATATTTATTGTCATGTGATTCCAATATTAATTTTTCGACAATTTAAACTCTCTTTTTTTTGCTTCAAATCAAAAACTATTTACTGTGATGCAATAATTACATGTAGCGTAGATTAAATACTTGACATTCTCTTTCTATGACATAGATATACTATTTTATGTTCTGTATAAATTAAAATATTAATATTAATTTTAATTATCTGACGAGATGATAATTTGATATATATTTTCAAAATTCAATCTTTCACAAATTTTAACACAGCAAAACTTATTTACTGCAATAATAATTGTAATAACAATGCATTCGAATGCACTTCCATTACTACACGAAGCTGGGACGCACTCCTAAGTAAAGCGGTATAGAGACTGTAAGGAGAGATAAATTGATACGGCCAAAATTAATCTGACGCACCGGCGCTATCGCGACCAACTTACTCAATACCTATCTAAATTGTTCTGATCACTTCTGGCGAATGTGGGTGCTTTAATTGGAGTAATCTAAACTGGATCATATCGTGCAAGACTTAAAACTCGATTTGGGGTGTGGCGTGCTAATGATGGGTACTCGAGCCATGCCTTAGAAGGGTAAATTTGACAAGCGAACCGGGTTTACGTAAGGACATTAATCTGGACTCCGACGATTTGGTTTGGGCTTTGTCAAAGTTCACTCTGAACACGACACTCGGTGCTTTATATTATATAAATACATACACGTACATCTAATATAATATTAAGGTATTCATAAACACAGCGGCGCCCGTTTCCGATAACCTATCTGGATGTAATTTGGCTTACCAACGCTACATTAGGCGGATCCTTCATTGTGGACCTTCCGCAAATTGAGTAGGTAAATTTTATCTTCAAACCATCGCATTTATGTAAAATTTGAACCAAAATAATTTAAAGAAGTTTACGAGTGTTCGAATCATAAATTACAATAATAGCGCCTTTCACAGTTCACGACAATGTGCGATCACCTTACGACCGCGAGCCGACCTTGTGTATCTTGTGTTGTCACGCTGAAGTATATTACACGATCGTATCATCAGACCATACAAGCTTCAATATACGACTTTAATCGTAATAATTAATACACTTTTGAATTAAAAAATAATTATCAAAATAGATTCAGATAAAGCGTAAGAAATACAAAAATACAGCAGAATTGAAAAATTCCTTTAATAGGTTGCTTTTAAACTGTCGTGATTTCTTTAAGATATTATTTTACAATGATACTAAAAAATTAATCTCTCCTATATATTTTATATGGTAAGAAATTCTTCTAAATTGCCATAATAGTATTTTAATTATTATATGTACCTATATAGATCATCACGTTAATATGACACGCTTTTTCAACTTTTTATTTCAATGTGTCTGACCATATATAGACATTTGTACTCTATTTGTGTTTGTGAAGAAACGGTTTCAGTAAAGAATGCTAAAGTCCAGCCAAAGAATATTCTATTCCTTGGTCGAAACCATGTAAATATTCTTACTCAGGCACTTTTAATTTTTTGGATTTTGAATTGGAGGGGCACGCCATGTTATCGTAAATAATCTATACATACATAAAACAGAGTAA